AGACATCTTCTCTCATGAGGCTCAGATCGCTGCCAGAATCTACCATGGCTCTGAAAGAAATATTCTGAGCGCTGAAGCATTTGTAAATAAGACCTGCTTTTGGGGATATATCCTCAAGGACATTCGTTGCTTCCTTATTGCCTGAAGAGGACTGCTGAGTTTCACCGCACTGTTTAGAAATGTGCCCAGTTTTGTGGGATTTGTAGCAAATAACTTCATCGACGCATTGTTTTGCAAAATGACCCTCCTTCCCGCACTTGTAACACTTCCTTGACGAAGTGTTCTGAACCTTTTTTGCTTGCTTTTGGATATTGTGCTGATATACTTTCTTTTCTTCCTTATGTATAGCATTGCCTCTAACTTTCTCATAGATTTCAATCTCAACCTTTAAGTCCTTTACCGTTTTGGCCCTATACAAGCCAGCTTTGTTTGATCTGCTGTCAGGAACTCCTTCAATAAAGTAAGACACCAAACTCTCTTCCTCTAGCTTAATGGGCTTGCTCAGTTCCATCAGACTGTACAAATACTCCAAGCATGTCTCTGTTGCTTTCTTCTCTCTATGCCTTAACATTTTGTGAACGTCGGCTGAACACAACTGCTTTCCAAACTCCTTTAGTAGCTCAGATTTTAGTATATTCCAACCACGCACTCCTGTCAAACTTCTAATAAAAAGCTTAGCTGCTCCGCTTAAAAGTTGTTTTGCGTAGATGTATTTTTGTAGATTATCCCAACCAACTGTTACAGCTACATCCTCAAATTCGATTAACCAATGGTTAATGTCCTGCTGATCTGATCCCGAAAAACTTGAAATGCTATCCTGAACGTCTTTTAAGGTAAACCTGGAACTCGTGGAGTTGACAGCATCTTGGAATTCAGTACTCTGTGAACCAACCTCGCTTGCATTATCTTCTTCATCAACATCAACAGTATCTGGCACCTGGAAATGATCTAAAAGTCTATCTTGCAATGTGCTTTTCCTACCATCCGTACTCAAGCCCAACTCAATCAGCTTTTCTTTCAGTAAAGGTACTGTCAGCACTAAAATAGATCTTGCGTCATTGGTTACGAGAAGATGTCGTTCACAGTGTTATACTTATTCTCTACAAAATCAATTTAAATAAACAAATTTTTGTCGAAATGTGAAGAAATTAAAATTAATGGAAAGAATGTACTCAAGTTTTCGTTGTAGCACTGGGTAGCGCTGTGGTCTTCGTCAGCTGTTTCAACTTCAGCAAGTTGGCACTTCGTCTTGAAAGAACTTTTGTTTCTGTGCGCCCTCGACGGCACAGCTCTTGGAATCACGTCCTCTTGCAGATCTTCTTCCAGCTCTTCTCGGGCAATGCTTCTCTGGTTTGGTACGATCTCTCCTGGCAGGACCGCTTCTGGTGGAGTCTCTCTGTTAGACCCGATTGGAGCCGCTTCTCTGGTAGCACTTCGTCAGGTTGGTCTTCTCTGGTAGCCCTTCGTCTGGTTGGTCTTCTCTGGTAGCCCTTCTCGTATAGGACTGCAGGACTTTGTCTGGTGAAGCTCACTCGGCAGTGCTTCTGGTGTAGTTCGTCTCTTAGCAGGTGTGGCAAGTTGCAAAATTTCGACTGGCAGCGCTTCTCTGGTAGCGCATCTCTGATAGCCAAATTCCTCTGGTACCACCTCTACTAGCCGCTTCTCTCTGGAGGCGCAACTTTGCGCGTCTTGTCGAAATTTTTGTGGTTGTCGCTTTACTTTTTGATTGTGGGTAATAGTCGTCTCTTTCTCTCTAGTGTTCATCTGGCATTGAGAACCCAGCGTCCACTAATACAGGCAAAGCTTCATCAGCCGCCAATTTTCCGACGAGTGCGACGTCTCCTTGTTCACACACGTGAAAATTTGGCAAGAATTTCCTTTTTATATCAAGTTTTATTGTATGTTAGCGCATACAGGGTACATTCACTATTCTGAAACTAATTCCCGGACGAGCCCCCATTAAATTTGTGGGATAATACAAATTTAGTTTATTTGGGAATAGTTACAGAATGTTACTTAAAACTTTAATGAATGAATTGTTTCTTGATATAACGTATGTGTATGTCTTAAAAACCGACTTCTTCGCGGAACCACGCACTGGACGACTTCTTCACTTTATGACTTGCTGCACTCTCTCCTTTGGTAGCGTCGCTATTTCTTACTCCATGCTTTTTCAGAAAGACTCGATGTTCTCTTATGTACTCGATATTCTTTACTGTACTCGATTAATAGTATTGGATAACAAAATAATAAACGGACTGTAGGAGCGCAATTCAAATTAAAAATAAGGAACAGGGCCTAAACCGTTGATGTCGCTGTTACTCTTGCGTTGCAAGGGTGATACACTAATACTAAATTCCCCAATCCTACACAAATATACTAAAGTATAGATTCAAAATTAAATAATATTAAGAATATACCTTACAGTTTCATTTCTATATTAAGGAGTCTATAGCTACAATGTTTGGTATTACTTTTAAGCCAATTAGTTTCAATTTAATACTTTGGAAATTCTTAATTTTATACTCATCTGATCGACGCCAAATTGAAACTCAAAAATTAATGTAACAATAGTTGCTTTTATATAAATATTTTTTTACCCTTGCAGAGGGTGTATTGATTTCAGTCAGAAGTTTGCAACGCAGTGAAGGAGACGTTTCCGACCCCATAAAGTATGTATAGCCAAGTCCGTCTGTCCGTCTGTCCGTCCGTTTCTACGCAAACTAGTCTCTCAGTTTTAAAGCTATCGGACTGAAGCTTTCGCAAAAGTCTTATATCTTTTGCAGGTAATATATAATTCGGAACCAGCCGGGTCGGACAACTTTATCTTCTAGCTCCTATAGGAATAATCGGGAAACATTTTTTTTTTATTATATCCTTGGTTTTTTTTAATATATACCTCCTAAGCTTGGAAATAACATTTTTTAATTAGTTCTGAATTTCGAATTAAATTTTATCAAAATCGGAAGACTATATCATATAGCTACCATAGGAACGATCGGAAAATTGGTGGGAAAATAATATGAAACAAACTATAGCTTCGGTGTTTTTTAACATATAACCTCCTACGCTTGTAAATAACATTTTTTTAATTATTTCTGAATTTCGAATTTAATTTTATAAAAATCGGACGACTATATCATATAGCTGCCATAGGAGCGATCAGAAAATTGGTGGGAAAATTATATGAAGCTAGTTATAGCTTCGGTGTTATTTAACATAAAACCTCCTACGCTTGAATATAATATTTTTTAATTAGTTCTGAATTTCGAATTTAATTTTATAAAAATCGGACGACTATATTATATAGCTGCCATAGGAACGATCGGAAAGTTGGTGGGAAAATAATATGAAACAAATTATAGCTTCGGTGTTTTCTTACATATGTATATACTATTGTGAATATCTTTTTTTGTATTTTTAAATTTAATAAATATAGCTGCAGGGGTATACAAGCTTCGGCTTGCCGAAGCTAACTTCTTTTCTTGTTTTCGGTGTATTTGTTGGGAACATTTTCTTTTGGTGTCAAATAAAAAGGCTAACTGCAGCTACAATCTCTTAAAAAAAGAATAATCATTTTTTTAGTTTATAAGCCAAAGAGCTGATTAAATTTTGGCCCGCTATTGCTTTATATCTATAGATATGATGATGAGCATATATGCTCATTAGTTATGTATAAATATAATTATATATATAAATTTTGTATATATAAAAACTGCTGCCGAGGTCAGGAAAAACATCCCTACATATCTTACAATTTCAACATTAAATTAAGTGATATTTAAAACCAGAAAAAATTCAGTTAGGTCGGGTCAATAATCTTTTTAACCATAGTAAAATGAATATGAGAGAGCATTTATATACCCTTTCAGAGGGGCTACTCAGCTAACCAATTTTAGTCACTGACTTATGGTCCGATTACTTTTGGCACATCAAAAGATATACAAATTTAAATTAAAAGTAATGTATGTACACTGAAAACATACTCCAAAATGTGGGCGACACAAACTTTTGAGACTTGTGGGCGTTAGAAAAGGAGTGGCACTTGGCTGAAGCAATCATGGGTTTTATAGTCACTAGTAGAATCTACATGAAACATTTAAGCTATCTAGTTTTAAACTTTAACTGGCGCCACCTAGCGGTAAAATCTTTAATTGCCCAAAACTTTTTATTGAATGGTCCGATTTTGGACAGGTTAAACATTTACAACATCCTTAATAATGTGATTACATTGTTTTTTCGTGTCTAACGGTTATACAAATATTCAAGTGTGGAATACATTTTTTTACTCATTAATCTGCCAAGAACCCAATATTGTATTGTATATTGTATTCGAGGAAAAGTATTTAAAAGGTAAAAGGAAACATCCCGACCCCATAAAGTATACATATTCTTGATCAGCATCAGTAGTCGAGTCAATGTCCGTCTGTCCGTGTGAACATTGTGGACTCGGAAACTATAAGAGCTAGAGTGTTGAGATTAAAGGTATAGGTATATATTTGTTACGCGAACACGCCATGCCCAATCTGACGCCCCCAAACTGAGCAAAACTGTGGCTCCTACAGTTTAAGTGCTAAAAAGAATTTGAACTGAAATGTAATTCTCGTCAATACATATAGATTCACATAAAAAACAGGATTAAATACCAAAAACATGAAGTCAATCGGATATTTCCAGGAAATATTGATTTTTAAACAGAGAAACCTTTTGAAATAAAGCGTTTTTTTTTGCAAACTTTAAAAATTTTAACTAAAAATATAATTTTTTCGGCTAAACCTGGACACACGTGTTTACTTTTTTATAGAATAGTATACGTAAAAAAAAGTTTCAGTTTTAAACGCCCCATATGTAGGACATTATTTGTATGATATTGATATAGTTTCCATTTATGAAATTAAGTATCAACATTATTTCTGTATCTTGCTGATTTTAAAAATAATTACTTGAACGATCATAAACTAAATATCTATATAAATGTTTTCTTCTTCGATATCTTTTAGGAAAACCCAAAATTTCTATGGCTTACATAACTGCAGAAGTACAGTGAATTGTGGACTCAAATTGATAAACATCCATATGCAATAAAAAAATAAGAAAATAAGACAAGTAGAAACAAAAGCTAAACTAAATTTATGGCTGGCAACGATAAAGTCAGGATTAACAGCTGATATTGGTGACTGAAATCAACACTTCCAAACACACAAGCTTCAAAAATAAACTCATATAAACGTCCGACCAGCTGACAACAATGGTGGAGAAACGTTCAGAAAAATATATTCCAAAGTCAATGCGAGTGTTTTTGAGTGCTCCCATATCCTCATCGCTAGCGCTCTTGATATGTTTGGGCCTAGTTGGACGCTCTTGTGCCCAAGTTGGTAAGTCTTGAAGATTATAAATCATGAAATCAACCCATATACCAAAGATAATATAGACTACAAGATGAGTAACAACCATACAACGGAATGTGCGCCCAAATTTTTGGTGTGAATTTCCGATGTGGGATTTCGGTCTTTCTAGTGTGCGTTGTCCAAGTAAGATTTGTGGTTGTGTTGGACTTCGTGTGCTCTGCTGCAAAAAAGGCTCAACCTCCATTTCACTTACGCTCCCTAAGAAAGCAGTGTAGCCGCCTAACTGCGGAGCTTGTGGGACAGACTTTGAATGAAAAAAACTTTTTTTAATGTACAATCGGCCTTTTTTTAAACAATAAATTGAAACATGGGTAGAAACAATCATCGATATTTATTACTGTTTAATTTTCGGACATCATGAGGGAAAATCACGCTTTCTTCGATAGATATGCAGATGACGATATTTTGTAGGATATATGTATTGCTAAGAGATCGAACTGCAAAAGATGTGCGCAATTATTTTAGAAAGTTAGAAATGTTGAATTCGCTTCGAACGACTCGGACTTTGGAAAGTTAAGTGCTCCTTCAGATATATTTCTTAACGTGAATAAAGGGTTTTTAAATTGTTTTCAATAACAATAAAAGTAAGAACGCATTAAGCCATTTATAATAAATCAATGCATAACGTGTACTCGAGAGAGCGATTTTTTAATGCTTCTAATGAATATGATGAATGCTTTTCACATAAGGTAATTTATAGACTTTGCAACTACCATTTCGGTTCTGGTTCCGGTACCGGTTCTGCACCGAACTGACTGATTCGGTCTCAATTCCATTTCGACTTTGGAGCAGAGCTCTATAGGTCGTTTTATATACAAGAATCATGTTGACCTGTCATTTATACAATATAGCTGCCATAACGATCAAGTCATTTTGTCAGTTCTTGGAGATAAATTGCACAAAACGTTAAATGGCTACGTTAATGATCTAGCTTAGAAACACGCCACCTAGGTTTCATTTCTATATAGGTAGCATGTTAATGAAATCTCGTAAGCAGCCGATTGCTGAACATGAATATATCTCTATTCCTCTCGGACTCTATTAAATTTGCTAATTATTTCTAATATTTGGATATAACTTTTTATGGAATAGTCTGGTTGAATGTTTTTGGCATGTAGATGGATAAGAACAAAAGCTTACTTAAATTTGTACAACATATTTAAAAATGTGTCGTTAGAGTGGGTTGTACACCCTGCTGAAAAAAACTTGCTCAGCGCAGGAACGACAATATTCCAGCTCTTATAACTTCTGAGATCTCAGCGTTCATACGGACAGTTGGACAGACTGACATGGCTAGATCGACTCGGCTAGTAGTTCTGATCCAGAATATAATTAATTTTGCGGAAACGCTTTCTTCTACCTGTTACATACTCTCAGATGAATCTAGTGTTACCTCTTACCATACGGCTAATGGGTATAACAAAAGAAAACGCTTAAGCTGATGGCATTGACTACCAGATACACTTTTCTCAGCTAAGGGATTGGAGGAGAGATTGAGATATGTAAGCTTGCACCCCACTTCACGGCGCCACGCAGCGTCAATTCCTTCATTTGCTTATAACTTGCATGGTCCGACCAAGAAATATATTTTTTGGGCCATGTAACATAGGATTGGCATTATTGACACTAGTGTACGTATAACAGCCCAAAAATGCCCCAAGAAGGGATGATCGTAGTTTCTGGTAGGAGTTTGACCTCTAGATCACTTAAAAGCAGAGGACAACCAACAAATTTTAAATATGGATAAGCTTGTTTTATAAACAGAAAAGGATTTTTTTTTTTTATTAGGAAACTTTTTAGTTGGTGGTGGCTCCATGTTTTTTATATATGTCAACCTGCGCTTAACCACTTTAGGTGATATATGTTTTATATACAACTATAATGTCACGCTTTAATTTCTCTGAATAAATGAATATGCTACATTTAGTATATTGTGAGCTACAACTGTTATTCTTTTAGGCAGTTTTGTGAAACTTTTTTATTATGTAGTAAATTATAATTGTCGAGTATGTAACAGAGGAGCGTTTCGATATATATTTTTTGATCGGTATACCGTCATCTATGTGTCTTGTTTTTGTTTTCCGTTGTCGTCTGTGTCTGTTGTATGGCTGAGATCTCGACTATGAGCTACTATTGATTTGGCTCAGATTCTGAGCTTCTACGCAGCCAGTTTTTTAGTAGACTGGCTCTGACAACGTTTTGATGCTGATAATTTAATGAAATTTTATAATATAGGAAATAGATTGGGTGACAACATCTACATATATAAAGTATAAGTGAAATCCGGTACCAGTCCGGATGGGCCCTTGGGACTAAGGGGGAGTGCGAGGAGTATACCGAATGGGAGATATGCTTAAAGCAACTCTGGTTATACCCGTTACTCGTAGAGTAAAAGGGTATACCAGATTCGTCGGAAAGTATGTAACTGGCAGAAGGAAGCTTTTCCGACCCCATTAAGTACATATTTTCTTGACTTGGCATGCAGACTCCTGAGCTTCTTGCGCAGCATCCACTATAACGCCCACAAGCCACCCAAACCTGTGGCTCCTACAAGTCTACCACGCCCACTCTAACGCCCACGAACCGCCCAATCCCGTGGCAGACAGACGGACATGGCTAGATCGACTCGACTAGTGATCCTGATCAAGAATATATATACTTTATGGTCGGAAACGCTTCCTTCTGCCTGTTACATACTTTCCGACAAATCTAGTATACCCTTTTACTCTACGAGTAACGGGTATAATTAACTTAAAGACTTGGTTTTTTTATGTTAGAACTTACATACAAATATAGAGCACCACAATCATTAAATTCATATCAAGGTCACAAACACAAGTTACAAGCCGCTCTGAATGGATGTTATTTCAAAAACTGCAGCGCTTTATTAAGTTTTACACTTCTTAGGAATTTTAGCTAGTATTAAGAACAATATGCGATTTACCAGCGTTGCCATCTCGTTGAATTAGAAACAGGCTTTCACAGCTGATAAGTGCACTGTTAAACTTTTCTGTGAGTAACATTAGATATTGATGTTGTCCCAATACATTCTGATAAACAAAACAAATTTGTTGGTCAATACTAAAATTCAAATTTCAGGTGCAATTCTTATATCGGCCTAACAAGGCTATGACAAATATAATAAATTTTATTTTACCATCGATTTTTTGCAAATATGGCTTGTTTGGTTCGTATGGACGGTAACTTAAAGCGGTACTTGTCTCAATTATAGCCTTACGTTAGATAAAAAGTTAAAAAAAATTCCACATTTTCAAAGTTGTCCGAGTTGTACCTTGTACAATACACTTAATGTAGGCTATTCATTTTTTTGGAAAAGTAAACCTAAATAACCTAAATTGGTTAAGATCAACTCGAGATATAACTAAAAACACAAAGATACCAACAACATTTTCTTTAAACTATATAAAAAAATTTAATTTAAAATATTGTTGACTACTTTTTCGGGATCAAGGGACCCTATTCTACCAGGAACTACCATCGTCCTTCTTTGGACAGTCTTAAAATATTATTTTGTAAGCTTGTGTAATCAAAACGTTATTTTAAAATTTTAACAAGGAAGAACGCTATAGTCGAGTACCTGTACTATTGTTACCCGTTACTCAGCTAAAGGGACCAAAGGAATATGGAGATATGTATGCAAGCAGCAAAGCGAGACCTAAATGCGCCACCTACCTCTGAACTCTATATATGGTAATGTGAAAATTGTGGGCGCCACAGGTTTGGGCGGCTTGTGGGCGTTAGAGTGAGCGTAGCAAATTGACGTAGACTAATACATTTCAGTTACAATATTTTATCTAGCATTAAAATTGTGGGCGCCACCGTTTTTGGGCGGTTTGTGGGCGTGGCATATTCACGTAACAAATTTGCGCTGCGCTCAAAGCTACGGAATCTAAACCTGAAATCCCAATTCTCTATCTTTAATAGTTTCCGAGATATCCGCGTTCATATTTACGTTTTTTTGAAGTTTGTGGGCGTTAAAGTGGGCGTGACGAACTTTTTTTGGGTCAATCGGTAGGTATTGAATTAGAACAATATTGGGTCAATCGTAGTATTGAATTAGAACAATACATTTAATTTTTATACTAGCATCAAAACTGTAGGAGCCACATGTCTAGTCCACACATTTTATCTTTTATAGGTTCCGAGATCTCAGCGTTCATATGGACGAACAGACAGACGGACAGAAGGAAATAGCTAGATTGATTCGGCTAGTTATCCTGATCATATATTGTATTAGAGGAAGAAAAGGGACTTGAAGTTCCAAGATTATAATTGTGCCCATATTAAAGTTCGGCCTTTTAACATATAAGTTCATATGTATATGTTTTCAGTTCCTTTTGGTTGGTCTTCTCTACATTCATGGGAATTGCATTTGCGGAATGTTTTCTTCATCAACTTTCAGGCAACATTTTCCCACCTTTGTGTGGCTGCTGGTCTTAAAATACCATGGTTGGTTGCCTGAGAAAGAGAAATTTACGAGGGGCCAAGAGCATTATGTGGGGTGGGGTTGGGGAGGTAATTGAGTGCTTATCCCACGCAATTTTTATTAGACTAAGGGTTTATAACTGTTATTATGACAAACATTTTACCATCAAAGCTTTACAAAATTAAATTTCTTTAAAAAAAATGTTTCAAATCTGCGATGATCATGATTTTCATCTTAATACCCTTGCAGAGGGAATAATTAATTCAGTCAGAAGTTCTTAGCGCAGTAAAAGATACGTTTCTGACCTATAAAGTATTTATATTATTGATGAGCATGACTACACGAGTCGATCTAGCCATGTCCATCTGTCCGTCCGTTAGCGACGTCCGTTCTTCAGCTATGGGGATGAAACCTTCGCAAACAGTTTTTTCCTGTTGCTGGTAGTAGGGGAGAGTGGGGTAACGATAATAAGAGAAGTGTGGTTGGCAGCTATAAATAAAATTTCATCACCATGAAATTG